ACAAAACGGATCGTGTGGTCAGACTCGCTGACTCGCTTGATATCCCATTGGATTGTGGTCAGTCCCAAAACTTTCAAAGTCAATTTAGCTCACGCATGTTTTTTAATCGTAGAATATTTGTTATTTTACATTATTGCTAATTTCCCTTCCATCGCCACCGACTGAGGGGATGGTGTAAATCCAGCTAGGGCCCATGCAGGAAGCAAATGTACTGTAAGTCCCCATAGTCCCCAGTATGGTGATCTACCTTCAGTTGTTGGCGATTACTGGCCCATTTTTACATTGTATTGTCAAAAAAATAGTTTTCTACTTTTGAAGATATATGCTAACTAGTTTTAACTCATTTTGTGATAATCTAGTGGTTTTACTGTCCTTCGTTGACAGGGTTTTATATATTATCTGTCTGTATTATAAATTTAGAACTAGTTTTAGTCACGATATGGCTGAAATATTGCCGATGTGACTTTAAATTTTAACTCACTCACCCAGTGGATCGTGTATTGTTGCTGATGATATCAACCACTGGATTGTCTGATGGAGACAGTCGTCATACAGTGAGTGAGGGAGTGACTTTGATTTTACGCCGCTTTTAGCAATATTCCAGCAATATCACGGCGGGGACACCAGAAATGGGCTTCACACATTATGCCCATGTGGGGAATCGAACCCGGGTCTTCGGCGTGACGAGCGAACGCTTTAACCACTAGGCTACCCCACCGCCCCAGTCGACCTACAGCTGTAACATAGCAAAGTGTGGGACTCAAGAACAAACAAACATAAACAGACTTTACATTCGTGCGAAATGTTTCTATCCTTGATGCTTGACCACCACCCTGGTTGTTGTAGCTATCTCCAGCGATCCAGCCTGCCTGTGAGTGGCCCACACGCTGAAACGTCTCCGTTCCTCGGCTGGACAGGAGGCTTCACTACCCACACAGCCTACAAACGCTACCAAGAGGTAGATATCGGTTCCCATACAATTATTTTAATCGTGTTATGTAAATATATAGAACAGTATACTGATCATTATACATTGAACAAGAAGATGTCATTGTAGGATTGAATGAGGTTTTTTTTACGCCGCACTCAGCAATATTCCAGCTATTTGCTGCGGTCTGTAAAAAGCGAGTCTGGACCAGACAATCCAGTGATCAACAGCATGAACATCGATCCACGCAATTGGGATATGATGGCATGTGTCAACTAAGTTAGCGAGTCTGACCACCCGATCCCGTTAGTCGTTTCTTACAAGCATGGGTTACTGAAGATCAGTTCTAACCCGGACCTTCACGGGTTAATCGTCTTTTGTAAATATATGGAACGGTATACTAGACCTTATGTATTGAACGAGAAGATGTCATTTTAGGGGGGAAAATATCGATTTCGAGAACAGACTGTTATTCTCCTATCATGAGTGAGTGAGTTATTTTTTACGCCGCTTTAAAATATTCCAGCAATAACATGTCGGAGCACGCCAGAAATGGCATTTACATATTGTACTCACCTGGGGAATCGAACCCGGGCCTTCAGACGAGTGAACGCATTAACCACTAGGCTACCCCTCGGCGTGACGAATGTTTTAATTAAGGATTATACCCAGAGTGTTAAGGTCAAAACAATATCCCCACAGTTCATGTTATAAATTTTCAATAACATTGTCCTAGCCCGTGTTGTATATTGCCATCAATATTGGAATGTCAAAATCTGGATATACAAGAATTGCTATGGATTGTGACTTAGCATATAACGGAAATTCTGAATATTCTTGTCATAACATTCAGATTTTTCTATGAAAGTGAGTGAGTGAGTATGGTTTTACGCCGATTTTAGCAATATTCCAGCAATGTCACGGCGATGGACACCAGAAATGGGCTTCACACATTGTATCAATGTGGGGAATCGAACCCTAGCCAACGCTGTAACCACAAGGCTACCCTACCACCCCTTTTGTCTATGTAAAAACGTAACACTAAGCGTGTATTGCTTTCAGTTTGTATCTATTCTGACTGGAATGAAAAGCACGTTTCCGTCTCTGGTGAAGGAGGTTGGGGTCCTCGACACGCAGACTTACGAAGGGAGGACAATCAGCTATATCAGAGTAAGTCTGACAGACCTAGATTTTAGAGGGCATTGCGTTTCTGTCTAAGAAGGCAACCATTACCACACCAGGCAAAATTGTTAACGGATTTAGTGCGTAACAGGAAGATACTTTCGTGGTGAAGGAGTGAGTGAGTGAGTTAAAATTTACAGTCACTTTGGCAATATTTCAGCCATATCGTGACTAAAACAAGTTATAGATTAACAATAAGTAATGATAGATTATAAAATTCTGTCAACAAAGGACAGTAAAACAACTAGAACATCACAGATATAAATGTAAAACTAGCAATTAAATCTAAAACATTTTTACTATAGAGGACAACACAATATAAAATCGTGATGAAGGATTTGGTCGTTAGGATGAAAAACAGTGGTGGCACGTGGTCCTGTGCACAGAGCTCAGGTCACAAATCAGGTGAAGTTAAGCAACGCTGGGCACGGAGAGTCCTTGGATGGGTGACCGTGTTTGACAGCTTGACTCCTGAGAGTTTCTAGGGCTTCAGTCCTGTCCCACAACGAAGCACATGTGATACATGTTGTCTCACCAAAGGCAAGTGAGTTTGTTCAAAAATGCCTCTGTTCACCCAGCAGAAAATGGGTACCCGTTGGATAAAGTCATATGACTATAACCTTCTAGCGCCTAACATGCAGCTTGGGTTATCCGGGGTAATAATAATCAGATTCTGATTAAGCGCCGCGAGCAATCACTTGGTGTTTGGAGACTGTTCGCTATAGAAGATGACTTATTAGCGCATGATTTTTCAAATTATCGTAACATTCTGTTGCATTAGGATCAGTGAGTGAGTGAGTTCTTTGGTTTGTTCACAATCTAAACCTAGGTCTTAACAAGTACGTCCAAGTCCTGTGCATGTGTCATTTCAAAAGAAGCCGTTTTCAGTATAAAACATTTGTGTTATTTTTTTCTCGGTGCCAGTTTTAAGCTTGCCCGTATATATACTAACATCTCATTTCTTTCTTAATTGATAATCTTGATCAAATCCGTAAACATCTCAGAACAAAGGTAAGATCTGCATATAAAGTTTCTTAGCTGGTTTATCACTTTGATTTGTGCCACGTAAGGATTGAAACGGTGTTTTAGTTATTCTTGTTTATCTTTAAGCTCGGAACAGGGGGAGATAAGCCAGTGATTTTCATCGAGGGATTGATCCACGCTAGAGAGTGGATTGTTGGTGGCAGTCTCATGTACTTCATGGACAGGGTAAGTATTATATACACATGACAACAGCCAAGGACCGCTTTTTCTATAGTAAGTACAAAGCCTGCACATGTTGTTGTATATGCTTTAGAAATCAAATTTTGCGTATCAAAATGGCAAGAGCAAAATAATTGACTTTGATTAAAAATTTGAAATTTGGTAAAATGTTACGCCTGTCATCGCCTTTTAGAACCAAACGTTTTAGTTTGTTTTCTGGCTTTTAAACAAAAAGTTTTGGGATTCAAGAGTTTCAATAGTATTCAATAGTATTACTCATTTTGGGTACTTATACAGGTTATTACAGGTCATCTTCTCTTTTGTCTTTTAGTCTGAACCCGTGAAGGTCCGGGTTAGAATGAGCCTTCAGTAACCAATGCTTGTCGTAAGAGGCGACTAACGGATCGGGTGGTCAGGCTCGCTGACTTGGATGACACATTTCATCGTATCCCAGTTGCGTAGAAAGATGCTTATGATGTTGATCCCTTGCTTGTCTGGTGCAGACTCGATTATGTACAGTCCACCGCCATATAGCTGTAATAATGCTGATTGCGGCGTAAAACTAAACTCACTCACGTATTGAGGGCATTGAAATTGACGTAACGAAGTTGGTCAGAGCATTATAGGCGACCATTTCGTGTCAAAAATATATCACTATGTAAAGCCATCAATTACGTATGCTCAAAGCATATACATATTATGTTCGTAATGCAAAAGTACCGTATTCCTTCCCAGTGTTATTGGTTTGGTGCGTGCATGGAGTAAACGAGTACGAATGGTTGTTACTTTCAAAAGAATGGATCTCCAGCTATGCATGCTTGTCGTAAGAGGCGACTAACGGGATCGGGTGGCCAGGCTCGCTGACTTGGTTGACACATGTCATCGTATCCGAATAGCGTAGATTGATGTTCATGCTGTCAATCACTGGATCGTCTGGTCTAGTCTCGATGTTTTTTAACAGACTAATCTGATTGGTTGACAGATGTCATCGTACCCCAATTGCGTAGATCGGTGTTTATAATTTCAATCAATGGAATGTCTCGTCCAGACTCTTATTTACAGACCGCCCAACTATGACCTGAATATTAACTTGAAGAGTGTAATTGGCACGGTTCCTACGACCGAAAGCTATAAATACACAATGCCATTTAGAAAGAGATCAAATGTAACATATGTTATATTTGGATTACACCTTCTCAGTAAAGTACATATTCTACTGGTAAACAAGGATAAGTTGGACCGGCGCAGAGAACGCGTTTACGAGAAGTAGGCAGTACTGCGAAATGAGCAAACCTATTTGGTTTGTGAAAGGTAGAGCAGATGTTAGCTAGTGCACGTGCATTGCATGACGATGAAATTGATTCCGCGCGTAGCTGCACACACCTTGCTCATAAGACTCTCACGTCCGTGAAGCAAGTTGCACTACTTGGGTCCCCTTCGCTAACAATGGCATGCGCCAGTTGGCGGCACTCATACATGCTAATACGGGTCAATTGTCAGGTCGGTGCTCAACTTATCCTTGTTTGCCAGAAGTCCTTTTTGGGGGATTGAGTCCCGGGCAACTAATCGCCTGCTCACAAAGTCACCGATGTAACCCACTCAACCACTACAGCTTCTACATAAATGGAAGTCGAGATCAGGTACCGTATGTACCCCTTTGTATTTGCAGTTGGTCAGTCGGTACAGTTTGGACGCTGATGCCAAGTTCCTGCTGGACACGTACGATATTTACGTTGTACCCGTGGCCAACCCGGACGGCTATGAGTACAGCCATACTTCAGTAAGTCAGTAAAACCACCTGAAACCTGACTGTTCCTCCTAGATTCGTGAAGTGCAAGTGTAAATCGTTGCCTTCAGTAAGTCAGTAAAACCACGTGAAACCTAACTGTTCCTCTTAGATCCGCGAAGAGCAAATGTAAATCGTTGCTTTCAGTAAGTCAGTAAAACCATGTGAAACCTAATTGTTCCTCCTAGATCCTCGAAGAGCAAATGTAAATCGTTGCCTTTAGTAAGTCAGTAAAACCATGTGAAACCTAATTGTTCCTCCTAGATCCGTGAAGAGCAAATGTAAATCGTTGCCTTTAGTAAGTCAGTAAAACCATCTGAAACCTAATTGTTCCTCTTAGATCCGCGAAGAGCAAATGTAAATCGTTGCCTTCAGTAAGTCAGTAAAGCCATGTGAAACCTAATTGTTCCTCCTAGATCCTCGAAGAGCAAATGTAAATCGTTGCCTTTAGTAAGTCAGTAAAACCATGTGAAACCTAATTGTTCCTCTTAGATCCATGAAGGGCAAATGTAAATCGTTGCCTTTAGTAAGTCAGTAAAACCATCTGAAACCTAATTGTTCCTCTTAGATCCGCGAAGAGCAAATGTAAATCGTTGCCTTCAGTAAGTCAGTAAAGCCATGTGAAACCTAATTGTTCCTCCTACATCTGCGAAGAGCAAATGTAAATCGTTGCCTTTAGTAAGTCAGTAAATCCATGTGAAACCTAATTGTTCCTCTTAGATCCATGAAGGGCAAATGTAAATCCTTGCCTTCAGTAAGTCAGTAAAGCCATGTGAAACCTAATTGTTCCTCCTACATCTGCGAAGAGCAAATGTAAATCGTTGCCTTTAGTAAGTCAGTAAATCCATGTGAAACCTAATTGTTCCTCTTAGATCCATGAAGGGCAAATGTAAATCCTTGCCTTCAGTAAGTCAGTAAAGCCATGTGAAACCTAACTGTTCCTCCTAGATTAAAGCCATGTGAAACCTAACTGTTCGTCCTAGATCAGTGAAGTGTAAATGTAAATCGTTGCCTTTAGTAAGTCAGTAAACCATGTGAAACCTAATTGTTCCTCCTAGATCCGCGAAGAGCAAATGTAAATCGTTGCATTTAGTAAGTCAGTAAAACCATGTGAAACCTAATTGTTCCTCCTAGATCCACGAAGAGCAAATGTAAATCGTTGCCTTCAGTAAGTCAGTAAAACCATGTGAAACCTAATTGTTCCTCCTAGATCCGCGAAGAGCAAATGTAAATCGTTGCCTTTAGTAAGTCAGTAAAACCATGTGAAACCTAATTGTTCCTCTTAGATCCGCGAAGAGCAAGTGTAAATCGTTGCCTTCAGTAAGTCAGTAAAACCATGTGAAACCTAATTGTTCCTCTTAGATCCGTGAAGAGCAAAAACCAGTAAGTCAGTAAAACCATCTGAAACCTAATTGTTCCTCTTAGATCCGTGAAGAGCAAATGTAAATCGTTGCCTTTAGTAAGTCAGTAAAACCATGTGAAACCTAATTGTTCCTCCTAGATTCGCGAAGTGCAAATGTAAATCGTTTCCTTCAATAAGTCAGTCAAATCATGTGAAACCTAATTGTTCCTACTAGATCCGCGAAGTGCAAATGTAAATCGTTGCCTTCAGTAAGTCAGTTAAATCATGTGAAACCTAATTGTTCCTACTAGATCCGCGAAGTGCAAATGTAAATCGTTGCCTTCAGTAAGTCAGTAAAACCATGTGAAACCTAATTGTTCCTCCTAGATTCGCGAAGTGCAAATGTCAATCGGAGCCTTTAGTAAGTCAGTAAAACCATGTGAAACCTAATTGTTCTTCCTAGATCCGAGAAGTGCAAGTGTAAATCGGTGCCTTAAGTAAGTCAGTAAAATCATCTGAAACCTAATTGTTCCTCCTAGATCTGCGAAGTGCAAATGTAAATCGTTGCCTTCAGTAAGTCAGTAAAACCATGTAAAACCTAATTGTTCCTCCTAGATCCGCGAAGTGCAAATCTAATTGTTCCTCCTAGATCCGCGAAGTGCAAATGTAAATCGTTGCCTTTAGTAAGTCAGTAAAACCATGTGAAACCTAATTGTTCCTCCTAGATCCGAGAAGTGCAAATGTAAATCGTTGCTTTTAGTAAGTCAGTAAAACCATGTGAAACCTAATTGTTCCTCCTAGATCCGCGAAGTGCAAGTGTCAGTAAGTCAGTAAAACCAAGTGTCAGTAAGTCAGTAAAACCAAGTGTCAGTATGTCAGTAAAACCAAACGAAGCCTGATCATTTCTCTCCTTGTGTTTTGAACTACATTTATAAATCGTTTCCACCAGTAAGTCAGTAACATCATGTATATAGCAATAGTTGGTCTCAATGGTATGTTGCAATAGGCTATCACTGTCGCAATACTGTTTCCCACGCAATAGTCACCCCAAATCATTTCCTTCAGTAAGTCAGGAAAATCAAGGGAAACTGGATTACTCCTAGAGTTTTGGACCACATTCATAAATCGTTTCCTTCAGTAAGTCATTGAAACCATGTGAAGCCGGGTTGTTCCTCGCAGAGATTTTAACTACAATTGTAAATCGACACCTTTGTCACACTATCACTGTGGTAGGTTCGATTCCAGAATTTACATGTAATCTGTCATGTCAATACAGTCAAGAGCAATCTGGGTTGCATATGATCTAAAAATATACACACGAACACACACACCACCCCTCCTCCATCTTGTGTTGTTTTACTGTCCACTATCTTACAGCACATATTATCACTGTCTGATTTGTCTGAAATGTCTAGGTATTAGCTCTCTCTCTCTCTCTCTCTCTCTCTCTCTCTCTCTCTCTCTCTCTCTCTCTCTCTCTCTCTCTCTCTCTCTCTCTCTCTCTCTCTCTCTCTCTCTCTCTCTCTCTCTCTCTCTCTCTCTCTCTATCTATCTATCTCATCCTTGCACACACACGCTCACAAGCTCACATTATGTTCGGGCGTTAGATTCCCGATTCCCCACGCCGGCACAATTTCTGGTGTCCGCCACCGTGGTATTGCTCACTCACTCACTATTCCGTTTAAATGAGGTTCATATGTCTTGATATATCTTGAAGCTAAAAAGATCATTGTATTCCTACAATAGTCCCGACTTTGGAGGAAGAATCGTTCCATCCCTCGCAACGGTTGCCGTGGTATTGACCTAAACAGGAACTTCGACGCTTTCTGGGGAAGTAAGTGCCTCTCTTTCAGACACAATATTCCTTTGCATGCAAGTATAAGCTTTTCTGATGGGGCTATGATGACACCACGATACAATTGGCAATGTCATATGCACAGATCCTTTCCTCAACTGTGACAGTTTCCGCTGGTCATTGTACATAGTCTCTAAACAGCATGAGGCAGATCATAGCATCGCCAGCACCATATATATTATGATGTTCGGATTCACACGAAACTGTTGAATTTCCGCCAACATTACACTAATTGTAAGAGTGTAAACTGCAGTTATGAGTATTCAGCAGATATTTTACGTGCTCATCAGTAAGGTTTTTATTTGTTCTTTTAGCGGTATTCAAAAATAGAAAAATATTAATTCCCTTGACTTTTAGCGGAAGTGGCTGTACTTGTGCTTTGTTAGTCCCATTTGAAATGCAACGGTGACCTGGAAAGGTTGTATTAAAAGGCATAGAACCCCGACTGCTCAGCACTATATGCCAATTACCCGGGTTTGATTCCCTACATGGGTACAATGTGTGAACCCCATTTCTGGTGTCCCCCGCCGTGACATTGCTGGAAAATTGCTAAAAGTGGCGTAAAACTAAACTCACTCACTATTTGCTTAACAGGGTTAATTATTTACACGTGCCTATATCTACAATAAGCACAAGTCACATACATGTAGCGTTTTATTTCTCTAGCCGCGGGCGTCAGCAACAACTGCAACAGCGACGTCTACTGCGGCCCGTCCGTGTTCTCTGAGGCGGAGGCCCAGGGCATCAGAAACAAAGTAGCGGAGATCAACGCCGGGGGTCAACGACTGCACGCCTACCTCGCAGTTCACTCCTACTCTCAGCTTGTACTTACGCCGTATTCGTACGACTACGTCAAACCAGACAACTTTGCTGAAGTCGTAAGTTGTAGAACATAAATTCTAGTTGAATGACTTAAATTTACATGTAACCTAAAAACAATAATAATTCCTTACGTGCAAGTCTCTTGTACCTTACACAATATCCGTAGGACTATGTGAAACCAAAAATTACGTTGAAGTTGTAAGCTGTATAAATTCAGCTTCCATATGGATTAACGTTCGAACAATACCAATTCCGAGCTTGCAATTCTCTCTTCTACTCGTACTTCGCTGAAGTCATACGTTATGGTTGTTCAATATCAATAGAGATTTAACCTTAAAACATCAACAAAATCTAGTGGTCCCTTTGCGTTCATTATAACCGTAGCTTACAGTGTTTGAAAAACGGATCCATACTTCAGGAATCGGCTGCAGCTGAGATGACGAAGGCCCTGAAGCTCCCCTTCAACACAGACTACATCTGGGGACATGGACCAACCACTCTGTGTGCGTAAACAACGACATTACCGTGAAGATCCGATTTAGAATTGGTCTTAAGAGGCGTAAGAGGCGACTAACTGGATGTCAGACACGTGTCATCGTATCCCGATTGATGCTCATGTTGTTGATAACTGGTCGAGACTCGATTATTTAAATACGTCCGCAATATAGCTGGAATATTGCTGAGTGCGGCGTTAAACAACCAATAAAAAGATACGAATGTGATGGCGGTTGGTTAATAATGGCCTCGACCAGTCACGTTTACGTACCGACTGACAATCATGCGTAGACAAAGTCCTTTTGGCGCAGCTGTGTAGCTGAAGTGGCGTTTCTGCTGATATTTTGTACGCGAGAAGTTTAAATTTTTACACACATAATAGAGTTGTCACAGACCACAGTAAGTAATCTCAACAAGAAGTCTATTCGTACGTGTAGGTTTTGTTTCAAGTCTGCTGTTTAAAGCCGCACTCAGCAATATTCCTACCACTAATTTTAACTCATTCACGCACTCATCGTGGGTTATTATATACAATACAAATATCATTTTATTATCTAAAATATATTTTGTTATATCATTTTCGATTTTATTACAACTAATATATTGTTACTACTATTATTGTTAACCCGTGCAGATCAGGGTTAGAATTGGTCTTCGGTAACCCATGCTTGTCGTAAGAGGCGACCCGTGAAGATCCGGGGTTAGAATCCATCTTCAGTAACCCATGCTTGTCGTAAAAGGCCACCCTTGAAGGTCCGGGTTAGAATTCATCTTCAGTAACCCATGCTTGTCGTAAGAGGCGACCAATGAAGATCCGGGTTAGAATTCATCTTCAGTAACCCATGCTTGTCGTAAGAGGCGACCCGTGAAGATCCGGGTTAGAATTCATCTTCAGTAACCCATGCTTGTCGTAAGAGGCGATCCGTGAAGATCCGGGTTAGAATTCATCTTCAGTAACCCATGCTTGTCTTAAGAGGCGACCCATGAAGATCTGGGTTAGAATTCATCTTCAATAACCCATGCTTGTCGTAAAAGGCCACATGTGAAGTACGGGTTAGAATTCATCTTCAGTAACCCATGCTTGTCTTAAGAGGCGACCCATGAAGATCTGGGTTAGAATTCATCTTCAATAACCCATGCTTGTCGTAAGAGACGACCCGTGAAGATCCGGGTTAGAATTCGTCTTCAGTAACCCATGCTTGTCGTAAGAGGCGACCCGTGCAGATCAGGGTTAGAATTGGTCTTCGGTAACCCATGCTTGTCGTAAGAGGCGACCCGTGAAGATCCGGGGTTAGAATTCATCTTCAGTAACCCATGCTTGTCGGAAGAGGCGACCCGTGCAGATCGGGGTTAGAATTGATCTTCAGTAACCCATGCTTGTCGTAAAAGGCGACTATCCGGATCGGGTAGTCGGACCCGCTGACTTGGTTGACACACGTCATCGTGTCCCAATTGCTTAGATCGATGTTCACGATGAGCTGCTGGATTGCCTGGTCCCGACTCGATTATTTGCATGCCTGAAAAGGCCGAGTGCGGAGTTCTACAAGCACCCAAATTTCTTACAATTATGATTATTATTTGCAGATCCCGTGGCCGGGGCTAGCGACGACTGGGGCATGCTTGGGGGAGGAGCCCGATACACCTACACCTATGAACTCCGCCCCAAGGAAGCCAACTTTGAGATCAGCCCCGACAATATCATTCCCAACGGCTATGAGTTCTGGCTCTCAGTTGTTGCTTTGGGTTGCAACATGAATGGAATCTCGGCAACATGTAATTTCTAAATTCTGCTATTTACCTGTAAGGAAGTACAGAGTCAGTGCATTCTATAATTTGGTCATTATTATCAAAGCTCTTACATACATGATCTTAAAATAAAATTATTAGTGAATGACCTCGATGCTGTCTGTTTTATTATGTGCACTGGAGTTAGTTAGTTTGGGTGAGTGAGTGAGTTAAGATTTAAAGTCACATCGGCCCCGTTTCAGCTATGTCTTTAAAAAGTTATAAATGACTTTAAAAAGTTATACATTCATAATATTCGCAATTGAATTATAAATTCCTGTCGACAAATGACAGTAAAATAACTAGATCATCACAAATTGAAAATTGAAACTAGCGTGTATTAAAATTAAACAAATATTATGGACAATACTGAATGAAAATCGCCAAAGACTGAAGGTAGATCACCACACTAGGGACCATGGGGACTTACAGTACTTTTGCTACCTGCACAGACCCTAGCTGGAGTCACATCATCCCTGTAGACATCCCTGTGACATATAAACTACCATTAAAATCACGGATAATGAAAAGTATTGGGAGTGAAGTGGGACTTACACACCCTCTCCTGGGTTTAGTTAGATTGGTTTTACCCCGCTTTTAGCAATATTCCATCAATATCTCGGCGGCCTTGTAATTGTAAGAACTGATTGTGACGTATGTGCATGCCTGTGCTAAGAACAATCACATGTGTCTCCGTCTCTTTCTAGCAGATTTTCATCGGTAAATATGACGTCGTCGCAAAATGACCTCATCATGTCTTTCTGACAACCAATATAAGTATGACCGATTGTTTACAGTCATACAAAATACATGGATTCTTGTCTGGGTGCTTCACGTTCATTTTGCATACGATATTTAGCAAACGTTTGTTGGCTTGAAATCACTGTTCGGCAAACGAAATGTGTCCTCAACAATCTAACCCCTGAAGGTCCGGGTTTGAATTGATCTTCAGAAACTCGGCTTGTCGTCAGAGGCGACTAACGGGATTGGGTTTTCGGGTTCGCTGACTTGGTTGACACATGTCATCGTATCCCAATTTCGATGCTCATGTCAATCACTGGATTGTCTGGTCCAGACTCGATATTTACAGACCGCCGCCGAATAGCTGGAATATTGCTGAGTGCGACGTTAAACACCAAACAAACAATCAAAATTATCCGTCCACGTGAACCAGTTTGTAGTTCTCAAATACACGACTTCTGTCCTCCACTATGCAGCTTTAAAAAAACAAAGAGACAAATGTTGAATTTGTGCATTTATTTCAAACAATATTTACAAATAATAATATTGTTTTACTGCAAAGTGCGATGTTAAGTAGAATGTCACAATAGCTACAGTTATGACAAAAGGCCGAACAGATCCACGTATACAAGGGTAAACATTGTCATACCACACTGCCTTTAATAACTTTTCTGGGGACTTTGGTATCTTTCTTCGCCGAATGCTTAGCAAAGCTGGGTTAAATCATCCGTACATAGATCAAAAGTTTTGTTCATAAGAGCTCAAAACCTTTTCAACACTGTGTACTTGACACGGAAGCACTCCATATTCTCAAAGCCTCGTTTTCGAATCAAAATGGCGAAAGGACAAACAAGTTATTAGAGCACTACAGAAGGACACGTATTTGAAAGTGACAATTTCCGGTTGCTAAAATCTTTTGCGATTTCCTTTTCAACACATCAATAGTAAATATGTCGCTATGAACAGCCACATAAAGTGTATTGTTGCCATCAAATAACAGAGTAGAGGGACTTTGTCTCAACGCTACAATCTAGACTGTGGCATTCTTGGACAAAGACATTTGCATGAGATGTTTATATTCGCTGTAGAAGACATTGTCTGTACCAGGAGACAGGTTTGAGGCAACACGTATGTCACGCCTAGACTTCAGTATCTTCATCACCTTGCCATCGTAGTCTAGAAACATTATTGTATGTTTTTTGACTACACATATCAGCTGACGTGCTGGGAATACTGCCAGGTCTTTTCAATGAGCTTTTCAAGATGATTACACTTTAAGTGAAACTTTCCAAGATAACCTATGCCTTTGTGAATACCAGTAAAAATCAAAAGCTGTCTGCCTTCATCCACACCCATGTTGGTAGCAGTATCGTTAACAACAATATTCCAATTATTGGAAATATCAACAGGTGCCCTCCAGATCGCTTCGGGTTTCCTGAATGAAACCAGCAATATTCTAGATATCGAGAGATATGTAATGGAAGCGATTATGTAGACAGGTTTTGGAAGATGGGGACATATTGTCACCTGATGACTCATTATGCCCCATTGCTTAAAGACATACTTCCCTTTGTAGATATCAGGACCATACACAATCCGTGTAAACGGTTCCGACTTTCTGCTGTTCGGACCACCTGCAGAGACAAGAAAGAAATGAATTTTATAGCCTACGTGAATGAGTAAGTGTAGTTTTAAGCCGCACTCAACAAGACTCCAGATATATGGCGGCGGTATGTAAATACTTAGTGTTCGAGTCTGTTCCAGACAATCCAGAGAATTAGCATCGATCTACACCATTGAGATACGATGACGTGTCAACCAAGTCAGCGAGCCTGACAACCCGATCCCGTTAGCTACCTCTTACTGAAGCCCGGATCTTTATGAGGCAAATTCTATGGTGGATGAAAAAAGGATGTATTATATGTCAAACAATGACAAACAACACAACCGATGAGACAACTCGCGCTTGTTTTGACTGTGTAAAACATTAAGCAAAGTGAGTGTTAACAGTTTTGTATTAAACAATCCACCATTTAAACCAAATCCCAGCTTCTGTTAGCATAGAAATGGTTCATTATAATCACAACAAATGCCTCAACCAACGAGTTGAACACATGGATCCCTCGACTGCGTAACTACAGAACGTTGATTGATTGCCTTTTTTAATATAAATAAAGGTTTGCTAACTTTCTAAAGTTTCATTCTAGCAAAGCTGTCACACGTTTCAATGTACGCAAGAATTCATTTTGAACATCATGGCGAACGATATTTCTTGAACATAATAGTCCAGCCAATGAGAGGTCAATATTGAGAGCTGTTAGACATTCCACCCTCTGATGTACGATTAATTGCACAGTACACTTTACACAAATATCTAACAATATCTATCTCCTAACCAGAATAAGACATCTCTTAAATTAAAGGGGCGGTGGGGTAGCCTAGTTGTTCAAACGTTCGCTCGTCACGCCGAATCCGAGGTTCGAATCCCCCCATGGGTACAATGTGTAAAGCCACTTCCTGGTGTCAGCCGCCATGATGTTGCAGGAATATTGCTACAAGCGGAGTAAACCCGTACCCAGTCTTACATTAAATGATACCAGGCCGATTCGTTCAAGTCAAAATGTACAGTTTATTGAGAACATTATTAGATGTTTTGTTTTGTCAAAATATTGATTACAATTTTCTTGGCACTGCAATTTGCTCGACTGAGTTACATTTCATTACACATGTGAAGGTATCTGGTTCATGTAAAGGATATCAGTAGTATTTCTTTCTGAAATTAACTTCTTCACCTTCTTCTCTGTAGTAATAACGGTCATCAGGGGTGGTGGTACTCTGGTCAGTTTTTTTATTTCGGCCGCTGAAAACATCGCTATGAAACTGACAGGTGCTCGTACGAGGGTTGTAGAAGAAAGACGTGCACCCTGAAGTCATCGTGCACACCCTTTCACAGTGATGTGTAAGTGGCACGTCGCACGTCATCATCAGTGACGACATGTTGCAAACTCGTCTATCGCAACGCTTGTAGGTGGCCGCGAGGATGCTCATATCAAGACATGAGACCGGGATATACTCCAAAAGAAGCGTCAACCTGAAAGAAAGACGGTTCAAGACGAATAAACGAATGGCTTATTGTGGCCACATTGATTTTTTTTTACTGGCGTGTAAATATTGTAGTAACATGTTTTAACTTGTCTAGTTTCTGTCTCATCTAGTGTTTGTTTCAAGTGATATTACCTGAGCAGTATACCAACAAGTAACGAATAGATTTGCCCCAGCACGTACTAGTAGACAATTTCACACATAAGACACTCGCATTGCTTTGTCTGACCCTTCCTTTCTCCTTGTAATGTAAGTCCACTTCCCACAGTTCACCGTTGTTTTATCAAGCAGCTGATCAGATCCTACCCTTCATACAAGTCGGTTCTATTGCAGATCATTTGCCCAGCAAATAGCTTTGCATTTCTTGGGGACCAAGTGGTTGAGGATTTCACTTCTAAGTCATGAAGGCATGCCCTTAATTCTTAACTGAATCTATTATCACAGCTATCTATTAACACAGCTTATTTCTTTATAATCATGTGTGTGAATGCAGTATGCGTGTAGGTTAAGATTGAGTGACTACCTATGAAAAGATTATTGTACATCCCCCATAATTGTATTGCCCATATGTTGCTAATGCAAGATCATTGTCAACCAGTTGTCGTTATCCTGTAACAAACTACTGACTCCTACATTGCTCATCGCCACACAGTGGTTGGTTGATTGATTTCTTGTTTAACGTCGCACTCAGCAATATTCAAGCAATATGGCGGTGGTCTGTAAATAATCGAGTCTGGATCAGACAATCCAGTGATCAATACAATGAACATTAATCTATACAATAGTGTCAACCAAGTCAGGGAGTCTGACCACACGATTGCCTTTTACGACAAGCATAGGTTACAGAAGACCAATTCTAACCCGGATCATCACGGGTACCACACAGTGGGACGTTAGGTACCTTAGGTGCATATGCTGGATATACCAACTACATTTGTTGAGGCAGTACGTTAAGTATATGTTGTAATTCGGACCAGTTAAAGGTTTTAGTATATCTGCAGCTACCTTCCCTTTATCTTTCATTAACGTACAATGTCATAAATACTGAGATAGCATGGTTTGTGATATTGATCTGTTTAAAAGGTATCGTTATACAATATTTGCAAAGTTTAAACTGACTACTTCTTTTATTGGCATTTAAGAAGTTTGGTAGCTGAAGAATGAGGACTTTTTTATGGATATACAACTTCTTTATTCTATATTGGCGACGTTTCGACATTCTAATGCCGTTCCTGACGTTGTATATCCATAACAACGACATTAGAATCTATGTCGAAACATCGCCTATATAGAATAAAGAAGTTGTATATCCATAACAACGACATTAGAATCTATGTCGAAACATCGCCTATATAGAATAAAGATGTTGTGTATCCATAAAAATAGTCCTCATTCTTGAAACTGACTAGTAAACTTGGTTTACATCAAATAAACAGAAGTAGCTGTCAGCTCTTGTAACTCGTTCTGTGTTTTTCTCAAACCTCTACTGCTTCACTATGAATATACAGACCAGTTTTAGACTAAACGACAAAAGAGAAGATGACTTGTAATAAACATGCATATTCTTAATGATTGATATTACAATTGCCAAGTAAAAATATTCCGTTGAATGTTGAAAATTGTTTTCCTGTCAGTTTTGAGTGAGTGAGGGGTGATTTAAAGTCACATCGACAGTATTTCAGCCATATTGAGACTATGAGTTGTATATCAAAAATAAACTCAGGCAATATAAATATCTGTCAGCGAAGTACAGTAAAATATCTAGATTATCACAGATAACTAGCATGTAACCATGCAACGATACTTCTACAGAACAATATAATATAAAAATGGGCTTCAGATCGCCAACAACTGAAGGTAGATCACCATACTAAGGACCATAGGGACTTACAGTACGTTGGCTACCTGCATGGACCCTAGCTGGATTTACACCATCCCTTCGGTCGCTGGCAATATTGAGGAATTGTAGCTAAAATTAAAATGACAAATATTCTGACAGTTTTGAAGTACATAAATTAACAGTTTCATCATGGACTAAAATAACATGGATTTGAAATGCAAATAAATTATAACGTTGTACAGCTAACAATGCATTGTTTGATCTTATTAAGAGTTGTGTAACAATAAAACGGTCTACGACATCTCGTTTACATTACCTTACAACATGAGCCAGTATTTCAGTTAACATCTTGAGTGTCATGTCTTTAGGACTTGCCTTGTCTGGAGCTGTGAGGAGAAAGAACACGATTCCCCTAAAGTGTACCATTCCACACATCATGGTTAAACTTCAGTGATTGATGGACAGGATATTTACGAGCTTTGCCCCATCCTGCAATATTAATGCGTTGCTGTTGGTACATGTCATTTGATAGTCGTGGGATCGTCTACCCCAAGATCGACACCTTTACGCAGCTCCAGGTTTATACGTCGTGTTAAAGCTGTTTATGGTAGGAACAAAATGGCTTCTAACATTCCTCACAAAGTGAATTTTGGTGAATGAGATTACTCAATATATGTATACAGTTTTGGTCGTCCTGTATAACCCGGTTTTACAATGTGTTGATTATCAATGCATTCTGTTACATGCAATCAACTACTTTTAATCTGTTACATGCAATCAACCGTGAGTGAGTGAGTTTACATTTACAGTCACATCGTCAGTATTTCTGCCATGTCGTGACTCGTGAAGATTAGAAAAACCCGTCGACGAAGGACAGTAAAACCAACTGGGATATCACAGAAACAAGAATTAAAACTAGCATCTGTCTCAAAAATTCGATATTCATCAGGACAATACAATATGAAAACGGGTAGGTAGATCACCATACCAGGGACCATGGGACTTAGAGTACTTTTGCTACTTGCATGGACCCTAGTTGGATTTGCACTATCCCTTTAGATGTCGGCGCTTATTCCAATTGTCTACTTTTGATTAGTGATAATCCAGTTATTCTACCTTCCATCGATGACAGGTTTCTTTTTACAAATATATTTAGTATTTGTATTGAAATTCTCTTCACCATATGACTAAGATATTGCCGATGTGACGTTAAATTTAAATTCTCAGTCAAAATAAAGCGCTCTACGTTGTATTTCATTTGGTTCTAACATATTTTCTTTTAGCTTAATGTGGCCCGCAAATCATTGACGTCCAAAGGACAAAACAGAAAGAAATCCTTTCATCAACAAGCGCATCTTTAATGCTACAATTGCAAACGAAACTATTCCCAACTTTTGAATGTAGTGAGTGAGTGAGTTTAGTTTTACGCCACACTCGTATATGGCGGCGGTCTGTAAATAATCGAGTCTGGACCAGACAATCCAGCAATCAACAGCATGAGCATCGGTCCTGAAAGTCTTGAAGTACTGTAACAGTTTCATCATAAGAGTGAGTGAGTGAGTTTAAATTTATAGTCACATCGGCAATATTTCAGCCATATTGTGACTTAAAAAGTTATAAATTAACAATAAACATAATTACGTTATAAAACACCTGTCAACGAAGGACAGTAAAATAATTAGATTATCACAGGAATAAATTTAAGACTAGTAATTAAATCTAAAATATATAACTATAAATGACAATACAATAAAAACAGGCTGTAGATTGCCCACAACTGAAGGTAGATCACCATACTAAGGACCATGGGGACTTACAGTACATTTGCTTCCTGCATGGCCCCTACATTTGCTTCCTGCATGGGCCCTAGCTGGATTTACATCAACCCTCAGCTGTTAGCAATTCAGATATATCTAGCCATACATTAAAATTATACATATTCTACGATTAAAAAATGGAAAGTTGAAATTTACTTTGAATGTTTTGGGACTTACGTACCCTCTCAGGAGGACAATATTTTTACAGTACTTTAACCCCCCTCGAGGATACAGCCACTAGCAATCTGAGTTACTAATTCAAACTTCCAATCTTAAAATATTTAGCTATTTACAAATCTAATTCTTTTAAAAATGCAATAATTAAATGAGAACTGATATTATTAAAAAGATCCTTCATAGTTCGTGATTTAAAATAGTTATCCCTTGTGATAGAATATTGAACATAGTCAAGCAAGACATGTTTGACTGTGATTCTTTCATCACAAGGGATGCAAAACGGAGGATCCTCACCTTTTAACAGGTATTCATGAGTATACCTTGTATGGCCAATGCGACATCGTTGCATGATGACCTCTTCAAATGTGGGCTGACACCCCAAGTAGGTGTAACCAATGTAGGGTTTTAGTTCATGTAATTTATTAATCCCTACTTGGGTGTCCCACTTCTTTTGCATCAGATCACGGATGTAAGTTCTAATGCTAGCTTATTAATCAGAGTATGGGATAAGAAGTGGTGTCACAGAATTGCTGAGTGCTGCCTTGGCGGAAATGCCAACGTGGCTGGGTAACCAACAAAAGACGATGTCGCATTGGGCAGTAGCAAGCTCATTATACAATTCAAAAATTTCTAATAAAAGTGGATGTTTACAAGAACGATTTTTAATAGCCTGAAGACACGAAGAGAATCGGAAAAGATTATGTATTGTTTATATTTACGGTGTTTATTAATATATTTAATAGCTGTTAATATGGCGTTAGCTTCTGCTGTGAAAATGGAGCTGTTATTTGGTAGTCGAGAAGATATTGTTCTGGATCCAATGACAGTGGCACATGCCACCGCGCCACCATCCTTGGACCCATCTGTAAATAAGGATTTGTATGTATTATATATATTTTTTAATTGACTATATTCTTGTTTATATTGTAATTCATTAGTTTCAGATTTCTTGAACTTTGTCAGAGTTCGGTCAACTTCAGACCTCACCAGTTGCCAAGGAGGAGAAGAAAGCAAACAGGAAGGAGATATATTTCCCAGCTCAATGCCGGCAGCAGAAATGAATGGTTTAATTCTTAGCCCAAGAGGGGGAACAAGAGAAGACTTTTTGTTGTTACAATATTATTTGTTGGGTTAATGTGAGTGAGTTTAGTTTTACGCCACACTCAGTAATATTCAAGCCATGTGGCGGCGATCTGTCAATAATCGAGTCTGGACCAGACAATCCAGTGATCAACATGATGAGCATCGTTCTACGCAGTTGTGATACGATTGTTGTGTTAAATCGTTTATTGTTTGCTAAATAGTCTTATAATGAGTGATCGAGTTGAGATTTCAGGTATTTTAGACTTATCGAGACAAATACTAGTTAAACTTAAAACCTTTGGATACAGAACTTTCTCCTACACTTCCCCTGTCTTGTGGAACTCTATCCCCTTTGACCTCAAACACTCTGAATCTCTGGACTCTTTTAAATCAAATCTCAAAACCTACCTCTTTGCTAAATATTATCCTCAATAGCCTTTATTGTTTATGTATTAAGCAACTATTCATTGTAGATTTCTTTCTTTGTATATATAATGTATTTATTTTAAGGTACTTATATAGCGCCAAGAGCATGCTTCTGAGCGTGGATATGTGCGCGTTATTAATATGCACTATTATTATTTATTATTATTAAACTTAAAAATACATAAGGTTAAATAATAAACACACCTGTCAACGAACGACAGCAATAGCAGCTAGAATATCAGATGTAAAACTAGTATGTAAATTTAACACTTATAACTATTGAAGACAATAGAATATACAAACAGGCTATTTAGACACCAACAACTGAAGGTAAATCACCATATTACCAGGGGGGACTTACAGTACTTTTGCTTCCTGCAAAGACCCCAGCTGGATTTACATACTCCTTCAAGATGTTAGCAATTGTCCACAAACCTAGCCAAACGTATATATTTACAAAACATATTACTTATCTTCTTTAAATAATCATATTCCTTTAAAATTAACATTAACCAAATAATAATCATAATGGTTATACAGTTATGGTTGTCCTGTATAAAGGTATGTAGATCTGACTTCACTTGGTATTAGCTACAACCTGCTCCCTAAGAAAAAAAAGGTTTTTCAAGTTATTCCCACAATATATATATTTTGTTAACTCCGATCTGAGCAATATTCCAGCTATATGGCGGTGGTCTACAATAAGAGAATTTGGACCAGACACTCCATTGAACGACATCATGACTATCCACCTACGCTATTGGGATACTATGGCATGCGTCAGCGAGTCTGACCATCGAATCCCGTTAGTCGCCTCTTTCAGCCGGAGATTACTGAAGACCAATTCTTACCCAGATCTACAATAGCAGTGCAATATCCAATGGCAGTACAAAGCAACAGTGGCTATAGCAGTGAGTGGGTTGCGTCACATCGGCATTATTTCAGCCATATCGTGACAACAAAAAGTCGTATAGCATAAATATGATCAATATTATTTTACCTTTTTTTTAAATAAAAAAGCTGTCATTGTGGGACAGTATAGCGACTAGACTACCACAGACTATAACTAAAAGTAGGCTGAGCTCATTTTAAAATCCTAAATTATCAGTCAACAACACTATAAAGTTGGGCTATAGATTGCCAGCAACCAAGGTCAGGCCACCTTACTGGGGACCGTGGGGACTGGTCTGCTTTCTTCACGGTTCCCCAGCAGGATTTACACCTAGGGCTGTAACGATGCATCGAACTATCGATAGATTGCAATTGAGTCTTCGATAGCAATTAATCGATGGTGGAAATGAAAAAATATCGATGCATCGATAGTACGTGTGGCTATCGGGCAGCGGAAACACTCTGATTTAGAGATAGCCGCCCCTGCTGCCTCTTGAACAACCTGACTGCTTACTTGATCTGGGTTTCAAGTTTCTTCTCGCGTATTAAAAGAGACTGAAACTATTTAAAAAAAAGTGGTATTTCAAAGGTCAACAAATCAAAACTGTAAATGTTTATAAATATCTTGGAACATTGTTCACACCGAAATTATCATGGGCAAAAACTCAGCTATGCCAAGCAGCACAAGCCACTAAAGCTCTATTTACACTCAACAGATTTCAGCAAACTTGTGGATATTTAGACTTAAAGGAACTGTTTAGAATATTTGATAGTATGATAACTCCTATATTATGCTATGGTGCGGAAATATGGGGATCTAACTATTGTAAAGTCATTGAACAGGTTCAACTCAAATTCTGTAGAAAATATCTGAGGCTGAACAAGAACACTAATAACAACATGGTCCTGGGTGAGTGTGGCAGAACCCCACTGCAGTATTACTACATGTGTAGAGCAGTCAGCTACTGGTGCAGGCTTATTCATATGGAGAGTACCAGACAACCACAGCAAGCATATCTCATGCTCAAGTCTTTGGATGATTGTGGGAAGATGACATGGGCTACTCACATCAGGGCTCTACTCTTTCAATATGGATTTGGCTTTGTGTGGATAAGCCAGGACATTGGGGATACAAAAGCTTTTATATATAGTTTTAAACAAAGATTACAAGACTGTCTGACTCAGAACTGGCACTTATCTCTTTCAGAATCTTCCAAATGCAATTATTACTCACAGTACAAGTCACTATTAAATGCTGAAAAATATCTGCTTTCACCTGAAATACCATTATATTATAAAATAGCCATTGCAAGATTTAGATGCAACAACTTCAGACTAGCCATAGAAACTGGGCGACACTCCAATACCCCCACGTGAAGAAAGACTGTGCACCTATTGCTATACTAATAATATATCTCTTATTGAGGATGAATATCATGTAATGATGGTCTGTGACAAGTACAGCCAAGAACGACAACTCTGCTTCCCTCATAACAGCTATCCACCGATACTCAACCACTTCATAAACCTGATGTCTACCGAAAACATAAAGACTATTAAACAAATCGGAAAATATCTCAGTAATGTCGTAAAGCTACACAATTAACACCGCATTATTAATATTTTTCAATGTAACTGTTATTGTGCATGCATAAATCTTTACCCAAACTCTTATGTATGTTGTATGGGCCTGAGGCCTTAAAAATTGAATAAATTCTGTCTGTCTGTCTGTCTGTCTGTCCGTTTTTATTTCATATAAACTATACATTCATTTGGGAAATGATTTCAAATGAGCCACTTCAAAGAGAATTAGTTTTGCAATAGTTGGTCGCAATAGACTGTGGCTATTGCAGTTGCTGTTTCCCCCTCAATAGTCACTCCTATTTACACCCTCAAGCTGCTGGCGATTGTACGCACATTTTGCCATCAATTAAAAGTATGGTCGGAATAACATTCTTTCAAAGAATGGTCTTACAGTACCCTTTTGGGGGAAACTAATCTTACAGTGCTTTCACCCCCGTCAAGGGCAAAGCCATAACCAAAAGCTTAAAGCAATAGTGTTTTCAGCAAAAGTCAGCAATCATGTTTACATAGCAACAGTAGTAAAGCTTCCACCGTTGCTGTTTGTTAACAAATTTGCTTTCTTAAACGTGATACAACTTTGTGAGAGTTTCTTGAAAACAATTTCACACATAATTTATTCATTTTGCTTTACAAAATTCAACTTCCATCGTGATACGAACAAACTGAGGAAATGTCAGAATTGAGGCTGGACAAAGAACAAATCAATATCCAGATCAATCACACCTTGACGTAGTGTCAGTAATTGATCGACTCTACGTTATACGGGGAAACACCCTGGAGATTTATTTCCAACAACCACATATGTCTTTTTAATGACGTGCCAGCTGTCATGTTTACTACAACACCTGTTTAACCCGTGAAGATCCGGGATAGAATTGATCTTCAGTAACCCATGCTTGTCGTAAGAGGTGACTAACGGGATCGGGTGGTCAGGCTCGCAGACTTGGTTGACACACGTCATAGTATCCTAATTTCGTAGATCGATGTTCATGCTGTTGATCATTGGATTGTCTGGTCCAGACTCGATTATTTACAGACCGCCGCCATATAGCTGGCACATCGTTGAGTGTGGCGTAAAACTAAACTCACTCTCTTAATCATCATACCAAGTTGGACGAATGCAACATTGCTCACCTGGAAATACGCATTTCAAGCCAATAGATCGTAAAAATTGAAGCAGTACATTGAGAGCTAGGGTCCTCGGAAAATCACTGATTCCATGGCACCTGTCAGCGCGCTAACTGCCTGTCGTCTCGTAATTAGTTTACCAACATAAAGATATTATTCATTGCTGTCGGGCTTGATCCCATTCGTCACCACTCGTCCCTTTCCGTAACCTCCAAGAAGACCCGTCCCCTTCTCTATGAATGTTATGGGCGAAAATTCGTCATATCGACAATATTTCAGCCATATAGCGAAGGGCCGATGATTGAAATCGCTTCGAGAGGCGTGTTCAGTGACAGTACCGCGAGTGCTCAGAGCTGAGCATACATGTTATACCGTCTTTGTAATCACTGCGCAACCCACGCTGACCCGGCAGTGACACTATATAGGACCAGGTTTCCTCCGTCCACCAGTAATTCATTTCCAGACATGGGTAGCTGAGATATATAGCGCTCACATACATGAGTTACATAGCGCTCAGACCACCTCCGTGGTGTAGTGGTTAGAGCGTCCGCCCGGAGAGCGGAAGGTCGCGGGTTCGATCCCCGACCGCGTCATACCAAAAGACGTTAAAATATGGTACTTGTTGGTCCCTGCCTGGCGCTCGGCATTAATGGGTACAACAAGGACTGGTCGGCTCGGAGTCAGTATAATGTGTGTGAGTGGGGTATTCATGCTTCACTGCGGCATGGTATCTCAGTGGGCTAGCACTATAAAACCAGCTTCAGTCTGGGCTAGTACAAGCAGCCGCACATACACATACACACGCATACACGTCGTCATATGAGCGAAATATTCTCAAGCACGACGTTAAACCCAGTTTCACCTCACCTCACCTTACATAGCGCTCACGTGTATTACTATTTTAGGGGAGGAAATCCTCGACGCGTCAAACAGCACGTGATTCAAAATGGCATCGCTAACATGCGAGAGGGCGACTGAGATGCTTGATGGCTTGCAAATATTAACCTCTGGATATTTTGCTAACGAACATAGGGCGCAGATGTAGGTATAAATTCAAAGAAGTCATTCAAATACATGTACATTTCTCGTCCGCGATAATCGTAACGGGTGCGCGAAAGTGCGACAAAGGATTTCCAACATTGCGGCCTACAGAGGGGGTTTCATAACGTTTCTGTATGTCAGCGCTATGTACCTTAGCTAAGACATGCGTTTCTAATAGAAGCAAGTCGGTAATAGACGGAGGTTTGGTCAGCGTGATGCTCTTGAGTTCAGTTTCATCACCCAGCGCACCCACCACAAATCATCTCACGTCCGTCTCACTAAATTTCTTAATTTACTCATGCTTTTGTTCTTAATGTTGGAATGAATAGAGTTGTTTTTGCTGGAAGTAGTGATGCTCATGCGCCAATACGAAATCCTTCCAGAGGGGTGAGTGAGTTCCAGGCTCGGTGACTTGGGTGTCACATGTCATCGTATCCCATTTGCGTAGATCGATGCTCATGCTATTGATCACTGGATTGTCTGGTCAAGAGTCGATTATTACAAAACATTACAGACCGACGCCATATAGGTAGAATATTGCTATTCTAAACTCACTCACCTGGTTGACCACATATCGCCATATTATTCCGCGAAACAGCGAGTCATAATGACCTTGTATTCCAACCATGTTTTATTGGTACCCTTGAGTTACCTCCCCTGTTCGGCCAATCAGGTCGCAG